TGGCTTATTATTTGGTGTTTTAAAAGCCACAGGCAGTATTAGGACGACATCCTCACACTGGTATATCATGATGTCGGGGTGCCTTGATGTCATACAAATATAGAACGTCCAGATGTTGCTAAGCTAACAGTTCAACCTTCTAATAGGCATAAATATTGAATAAAATATTTGTTAACATTTTTAATGGTACTTCACTATTTATTTTCTGTTATTTCATCCTGTAAATGTATATTTGTTCATGTTAAATTGATGTATTTATTTTTTATTTTTGTGGCTCTCTACCATTTTGTTTATTATTTACTTTTAATTTGAACTTTAGTTAAGTCTTAGTAATTTTGTTATGTGCTTTTGTCATTTTTATTAGTTTTTGCTGTCGTTCAAATATAGTATAAATTAATTTTATTTAATTTTTACTAATTATTAGTGCTTTAACTCATATATTTCTGTTCTTTTTTTAATTTTGGGTTTTTCATCATATTCATATTTTGTATTGTTTTATTTCATCTTTATTTTAATTACTGAAAATGATTGCTAATCATTTTAGCTTAGTTAACAATAGCATCACTGCCTTTACACTGAATAAGCAGCCTTAACTCGACTGTGTAAAGCCACTTTTTTGGGGATTGCAAGAATAGGTTGCATATAATGCTGCCTTAGCATTTGGCATCTTCAGTTTGCCTGCGATGCTTTAAATGCTGTCCAGGTAGGCAGTATATTTGGTTTTGGAACAGAACTGAATAGTCTTCCATTGTGCATGACCTCAGGGAGCGGCGTAATGTAATACTAATCTATATTCTATACAGGCACGTGCACAGGTAGGGCTCAACCTGTGCAGAGCTTTCAGCACATGCCCCTCAAAAGGTCTGTGGACGGCCCTGATTTTATATATGTTCCATCAAACAAGACAGCTGCTTAAACGTTCAGTAAGATCATGTGTATGGGCTTTATTATCCTCAAAGTGAAGCTGTGATTGTATTTCGATTTGCAGAGCCCCTCAGGAAATGTCCTTTACAAATGAGCACATGACATTTAACATTTTAAGGCTTATTAATTACATTCCCACTCACAATATCACATTATTCCAGAAAATAATGCGCAACTCATGTACAAGTACAGAGTTACACCCATCTCAGCATTCATTTTCCACCAAACGAATGATATTATTCGGTAGCTGAGGGAATGGGTGTTGTTGCTCAGTTTATTATTTTCCTGTTGGTTTTATCTTGTAAAATGAAGCCATTAAAGTCTCTGGACTCTGTTGGTTTCAGGACGCTCGTAAATCTACTCAAGTCTTCCACAATATTGGTTTTAGAGCCCGTCCCTAGTTGTCAGATGACTCATCGAGAGGAAAAGATGAGTCGTGTTGGATTATAGCATGAGCTGGTCTCTAATGAAGGCTTTCATAAACTTCTAGGGTGATCTGCTATGTCATGCAGTTTCTAGGCTTTAAAGCCTAGTGTAACTTTCAATTTTCTGTCTTGAGTATCTCTTTAGTATTGAACATTTTCAATAGTAAACTAAAATTGAACTCGCTGCCATAATGATAAGATGTTCTAAGTGAAAACACAGATCGATCTCTGTTGGATCGGAACAATTAAAAACAAAAAGCATTTAACTGGACATCAAGGCTATAGTTATTGGTATTAAAACCGTCTCTGTTGAATCTGGGTCAGCTGTGCCAGGCGGTGCTGGACTGTAACATTGTAGCTGGATCCAAAAGAGCAAGTCCCTCAGGCTCAAACATCAAGTCCACTATTTATATGATTACTACAACAGCTTTACACTTGTTAATGCCCACCAGACTAATGCATTTGCCAGTTGTGTCACTGTGAGGTTTTCACTGCAGTTCATATGTCGCATACGAAGCTCCTCTATTATTTTCATTCTTTATATGATTTTTATCTTACAGGTTTGTAAAGCTACGAGTCTTGATCTTGTGGTCTCGGTCTTGTGTCTTGAGACCACATGAACGTGGCTTTGGTCTGAGTTTCATTCTTTAAAGTCAGGCCATAAACTGAGACCCACACCACAGTCTATTTCCAGTGTACTAAAGGTGATTATTACCTCAACCACTAGTTGGTTCAATATCTTTACCATTGTGCTTTGTGTTGCTGTTGAATCTCTCATTTGAGTTCTTTACAGTGAACATTCTGCTTCTTGTTCTGGATCTGGACCACAATTTTGCTTCTCAAGTTGATTCTGTTTTAAAAAAGGTTTAGATATGAGACAGAAATATTGATAGGGAAGAATATTATTTGCATGCAGTGTGGGCTGTAGGTTTACATGGCTCATTTGCTCAGTGAGGAGAAACCTTGAGAACATGAGTTTTAATGAAGTCATCAGGGTGGAGTGTATTTGTTTATAGGTCTAATCATATTAATGTAGCGTCTGGACCAATCAAAAACACAATTTTTCATTTGATTTAACAAATCAATTATTCATTAGATTAACAAACGTTCACAGACCCCTCACCCAATAAACATACTGGGTGCCAAGTTGTCTGTGAACAGGGCCCAGGACCCTGGTTACCATGGCAACCCTGACACCAGATACATTTACGACCTAATGGAATGCGAAGCAGGGAAAATCACTGCATGTTCCATCGCAAGAGGCACAAGGCACAGTAGAAATGGACTTTTCTACTAATTAATTCATAGGAAAACCTTTCTTTGAATGAACAGTGTATCCTTCAGGTCATGGTGTATGTTGTCTTTGATATTTTTAGACTATTTTATGCATGCTTGTGATGGAACCCATCTAAATATTTATAATTAATTATAACTAGTTATGATTAATTATTCATATTTCCCCATGAGCTGATTCGCTACATAATATAAAGAAGATGGTGCATGAAATGGAGATTGTTCCAAATTGGTCGCTTGTCACATTAGAAGGCAGCTGACTATGTAGACAGTAGACAGCGATAGGGTTTGGTGCAGTGTTTTTGTGCTGATGGGACAGTGTGCAGTGGAATGGACCATTAAGATTCCTGTGGCAAACAGCATCAAGTGTTTAAATCGTGTTAGTTGTATGACAGAAAAGGGTGTGGGCCGGAGTGAATTGGATTAGGAGTGACTCGCTGTAGGAAATGCCTGTGGATCGTCAGAGCCCGGTCTCGCATGTTGGATCCTTTTAGCCCACCAGCACAGAGTATTACAGTGATTAATGATGTCACGCTATCGTGCTGTTTTCCTGATCTCATAGAAATCCACACTGACAGGGCCGGTTGGTAAATGTTTATTTCCTTGCATGAGGTTGTTTTCCTTTGATAATTGTATGCACCACCTCTAGAAATTCACATTTCAAAAAGATTAAACATAATTACTTAGTTACAGTTTTCCTGTTTTATTCCTGGGTTGCTGCTGCCATGTCGTGAAGGCGCTGTGTGTTTCGTTGTGAAAGTGAAACTACTTTCTTTGGCCTTCCAAAAGAGGACGATATCCGCTTCGTCATGCCTGGCGGAGTCCAGCCCGGGGTCGTCACATGTGGTTGCCGCAAGACCGTTGACAACACTGTTCCAGAACAGTTCAACCCAAATATTCTGATGTGTCCATCGCATTTTATGGAGGACTGTTTCCGGATCCTGGTAAAAACACATTTCATTACACCAAATACACAAAATAATGTTCTTTTTAGCAACATCATATGCCCCCTTTAAGGCAAAAGATGACAGATTTAGTTTGATTTCATGAAAACATGGATCTGAGCCCACATAAAACAAGTATATATAATATAAAATTTATGGTCTATAAGATTTTTAATGTTTTTAACTCTTTTGTCCACCAAGACTGCATATATTTGATTGAAAATCTACATTAATATTAGTTTCTAGTTTTCTGTTTGAATGTGTTTTAAAATGTAATTTATTCCTGTGATGAAAGCTGAATTTTCAGCATCATTACTCCAGTCTTCAGTGTCACATGATCCTTCAGAAATTGTTCTAATATGCTGATTTGCTGCTCAAGAAACATATCTTGTTATTATCAGTGTTGGAAACAGTTCTGCCGCTTCATATTTTTGTGTAAACTGATACATGATTTTTCAGAATTCTTCGATGAATGGAAAGTTTAAAAAAGTTTGCTGTCTTTGCTGTCATTTCTGATTAATTTAATGTATCCTTTGCTGAATAAAAGTATCAATTTAATAAAAAATCTAATAATAATAATAATAATAATTTTAAAAATAATTTCCTAAAAAACAATTTATTAATAATTTTTTTTTTTTTTTTTTTTCTTTTTCCTTTTTTT